TGCAAAATGATATTAAATCAGGCAACAATAAGTAGCTACACCATCGTGAGACCGGTTATTACCGAACTAAGAAGAAGAAAAACCCTGGACACATCCCAGACTCAGCCATGGGGCCTCTTGAGTCTGTGACCGAATATCTCACTGGGATACAAACGTGCTCTCTGTTATTGCTTTGTGTGTTTTGTGTATTATTAATGTAACTTGTGTATTCCCGTGTCTGTTATAGTCGGAGGATCTGAACAAGGAGGTGGCTGCCAGCACAGAAGTTATCCAAACATCAAGGACAGAAATTACTGATCTGCGTCGAACAATGCAGGGCCTGGAGATCGAGCTGCAGTCCCAACTCAGCATGGTAAAGGATAATGATCTACGGCATATGTAATGAAAAATATGATGCACCCAAAATGTTTTACTACTAATTCACTCTTTCTCCTCTCCCTTCCTCCTGTCTTTCACTTCCACCTACAGAAAGGGTCACTTGAAGGCACGTTGGCTGAGACAGAGGGACGGTATTCCATGCAGTTGCAAAGCCTACAGTGCCAAGTGACGGGGCTGGAGCAACAGCTAATGCAAATGCGTGCTGACACGGAACGCCAGGGCCAAGAATACCAAATGTTGCTCGACATCAAGCAACGTCTGGAGATGGAGATCGCAGAATACAGAAGGCTGTTGGACGGAGAGGGCGCGTAAGTAGTCCACAAAGAACTATTATCTCCTTTCATTTTACACAAATAACAACATCTGCAAATTGAAGAATTGTTCTCATATTTAATGCAAGCTTTGTGATTCTTCCCCTTGCAGCAGTTCCATCAGTTCAGGGTCTAGCAGCAGCACCTCGGCCAAGATGATCGTTGTCACAGAGGAATATGTGAACGGCCAGTTGGTGTCCAAATCCTGATCTGTCTCGCGCAGAAAGAGCAACACATTGGGCCACGCCTGAGGACCACCATCATAAACCATGATCACAACACATTCTTTGCATCGGCATGTGAATGCAATAAAAGGCTGCCAGTTTGCTGACTAAAACGTTGTCCTGTTTTATTAACTGTCTTAATTCCAAATGATGTCTTTAGAGTGGCGTTTTTCTAAATAAAGGCCTGGTGAAAATATTTGCTCTTAAATCTGACAAGAATGTTTCGCATTCCTGTTTCAAAACGGTAAGCCTTAGCTCGAGGCTGTCACCAGATAAAGGAATGGTTGTGAAAAGATGTAGGAAAATTGAGGCTCTGCAAATCTGATGAAATTGCATACGGCTCTGCTCAACAATTTCCTCCGAGATACAATTAGTTCAGGACTTAATCACGCAGATGGGCAACACAACATGGTGCTACTCTGAAGCAGACATGCATTCTCCAATGAGTTGAGATTTTAGTTTTAGTTTATTTCCACTAAACCTAAAATGAAGAGTTAATGCTCAGATATCTGTCTTTAAACAGCAGACCTTGTGAGATATTTGTGTGTGAGCGTAAATAAGAATCACTGGATGCTGGACTGGGGTGGCAATTTGAAAAAGGGATTTTCTTAACTGTTACCCAATGCATGCACGGGTATATCCCTGTCCCTCATCTCACTGATGCTGCTTTAATAGAGCGGTGCAGGGAGGACGTGTTTAACCTAAAGTAAACTGCTGACAAAAGAGCAACGGGATTTCTCCAGAGGATTTTGGAAAATAGCTCGAATTAAGATCTGTGGAAAACAAACCTGTTTGATAAATGCACGTTTTGTTCAGCTGGATAATCTCCACACGTCTACCCTACTTTTATAATGTTCTAATCATAAATCTAATGTCCAGAAGCAAAATGCTAACGTTATGCTATAAAGCAGTGATTCTCAAACCTTTTTCAATAATGTTCCCCCTTTGAAATAAAATTCAGCGAAGTTCCCCCTGATCAGCGCAAAAACAATTTGTTAGGGACAAAAAGCCTATAAAGAGGTACAGTATGCGCTGCACCATCAGAGTCTGATTTATTAAAGCAACAACATGAGAAACACTTAAATGCTACATTTCAAATGTTTACAATCCATCACTAAATTCATGGCAAACCAATTTTAACATCATGCAATAACACTAAGACGACATTAGTTGCATTGAACTGATCTTTTCAATAAGTTGTACAATGTAGTGAGAAACATGGGCTTGAGCTTCACTGAGGACCTTTGTCATTCTGTCAGGGAGGCAACCTGCAGTTATTACACTTCGTGTTTTGAAATATGTGTAACTCTGTTCATATAAAACCCACACTGCTCAAGCTTCGTTACTTTTCCTAAAATTGGTATATATTTTTTTTCATTTTTTTTTTTCATTAACATAAAATAAATCTCACGTACGCCCTGTAGTACTCCAACGTACCCCTAGGGGTCCGCGTACCCCCATTTGAGAGCCACTGCTAAAGGAACTACAGCCGAGTCCAGCAGCACGACTTCAACGTCACGCCAACTTCAGAACAACCATCGTTTTTCAGACACGTCAGCTCTTCAGAGATCACCAGTGGGGTCACTGCTGATGGATTTAATGTAGAACAAAACGTGATCCGTCTCTTCAATTTCAGTCAGACAACTCACAGGTTTCTTGATATGGTTATCAGAAGCAACATAGTTTGAGGTTGGCGTCTAGGCTCGGGCTTCATCACTCCACAGATTTACAAATAACATTGAGTGATGATTAGATAACTATCCCCCGAGCCTACAGGTGGAAGCTGGGGTGGAGCTGGAGCAGGCAAGCAGCAGAAACATGAAACACAGCAGCAGCAACATGAACGTAGCAGTAGCAAGTGAACACACAGTGCAGCATAGAGAGGCAGAGGCAGGAAGACCTGGCAGCTTCAATAGAGCGGCATGTAGGAGAATGTGATTGGTTGGTTGTAACTTAAGAGGGACGAGGCGCGTCACGTGTATCATTGGTGCTCGAGTTGACTGCCTAAACTAGCTCGCAGGCTTCGCCCCATTTGTGTCCTCCACAGACCTTATTTCGAGCTATTTTCTAAAATCCTATGGAGAAATCCCATTGACTCTGAGACAAGGGAACAGGAAGTGGTAACATGCTGACTCACTGCTGGGTTTTAGGACTCGTCACTGCACCACTCTATCTTATTTGCACTTTGGTCAGCATCAATAATTCCACAGAGGTTTTTTTTAAATAGTGGTACTTGGGGGAAATGCTATTTGTGTCAAGGGGTTGTGTTGGTTGCACTACCACAGTCGGCCACTGACACAATAGGTCAGGGGTCTGCAACCTTTTTGACCAAAAGAGCCATTTTGCTCCTTTTTCCCCAAATGTTTTTTGTCTGGAGCCGCAAAACATATTTCATAGCTTGATAGCTAATAAAGTTGTATTTATTGTTATATCAGACAAAAACTACAGTTGTTTTGCATTTATTAGGCTATTTATTACATTATATAAAACTGTTAACCTCTAATAGGAAACAAAGAACTCCTATAAGGAGAATTAAAAATAATACACAGGCCTACTTTCAAATAAATTAAACACAGCACTTGGGGAGTCCTCTGAACATTTGAAGGGAAAAAAAATATTAAAATGGGCCCACTTTGAAATAAATAAAACATATAGCTGCACCCTAAAAAGAGTTAAAGGTAGGGTAGGTAAGAATAGAGAAACCAGCTCGAGTGCGCTAGAATTTGAAAATACACAACCGGAAAAAATAGGCCTCTTCCTTCAGACTTTCTCACATAGTCCCTCCTCCAACACACACGAACGCGCATCATCAATGAGGCCACGAGATAAGTTTGTGCACAGATCGAAGGCTGACAGGCAGGTAGGCCATCCAGTTATTTTAGCCGGGCCGGCTAAATTGATTGGTCACGCTTTTTACAGCGCTACTTTCTTCCACGGATTAATTTTTGTATGTATTTATTGTCAAAGCATTTAATATATTCATTGCTATCGGGACGTTAAGAGCATTCCATNACTGAGCTACGTCGATCAATGCAGGGCCTGGAGATCGAGCTACAGTCCCAACTCAGCATGGTAAATGATAATGACCTAAAGCATCATATTTTTCATTGCATTTAGGTCATTATCATTTACCATGCTGAGTTGGGACTGTAGCTCGATCTCCAGGCCCTGCATTGATCGACGTAGCTCAGTAATTTCTGTCCTTGTTGTTTGGATAACTTCTGTGCTGGCAGCCACCTCCTTGTTCAGTTCCTCCGACTATAACAGACACGGGAGAACCTCAATGCCATGTAGAACTATATATATGTGAAAAATATAACACTCTAAATAAGCAGTAAGAAGTCACTTTGTCAAATATTATCCAGTCTTACCTTTGTTTGGAACCAGGCTTCAAGTTCTTTCGCGTTCTTGGCGGCCACAGCCTCATACTGCTCACGGATTTCTGACATAATGAGGGACAGGTCTGGTTGTCTCCCTGCGTCCACCTCCACGTTGATCTGTCCAGTCATCTGGTTTCTCATGAGTGCTAATTCCTNAAAATCTCGTTGAGATTTACTGAGAACAATGCGTGTCTAAGGGGAAAATGTTGCTTCCGAGGTGCAGATGGTCTGAGTTCTTGCTGGCCCCCACAGGTGGGGGAGAATTGAGCTAGCCATGGCCCGTAATCAGTGGAGCGCTGACATCGACCGCCTGGGAAGAGAGTGTTGGATGAGCCTGCGCACGCCAGATCAGACCTGAGATGCAGATGGAAGCCTCAGGAGGACTGTCTTCCTCAGGAAGAACCAACGAGGAGGTGGTAGCGACTGAATTGACGTTCATCTGAATGAGCTTTCATTTCAATTTGCTAGAATGAAGATTGAAATGTTACTCAAACAACTTTGCCAAACTCTTCTTATTCTACAGGAATTTAGCACTCATGATGACCGCAGATTGACTGGAGCAGCATCAACGTGGAGGTGGACCGCAGGAGACACCCAGACCTGTCCCTCATCATGTCAGAACTCCGTGAGCAGTATGAGGCTGCTGGCCGCCAGAATGCGAGAGAACTTGAAGCCTGGTTCCAGCACAAAGTGTAATGCGACTCGGATAAACATTACTACTTGGACAAAGCATGGACTTCTGAATACTGCCTGATCTCGAGTGTTATATTCACATAGATGAAGTTCTAACATTGGCATTGAGGTTCTCCCGTGCTGTTATAGTCGGAATCAACTGAACAACGGAAGGTGCCTGCCAGACACAGCAGTTATCCAAACACAACGAGCAGAAATTATTAGCTACGTTACGACAGTGGTGTCAATTGGTGGGCCTGGAGATCGAGCTAGGCAGTCCTAATCAGTCATGGTAATTGATATGACTAAATGCAATGAACAAATATGACTGGAACGCCCATAGAACTGGTCTTTACTACTCATTGAGCCTTGCTCTCTAAAATTCCTCACAGTCGTCATTAACTTCAGCGAACAGAAGAGTGGTCATCTTGATAGGCACTGTAGCTGACACAGTGGACGGTATTGCATCGGCAGTCTACCGAAGTCCTACAGTGCGGCAGTGCAGAACTGGTGCAAACAGCTATCATGCAATATGTCGTGCTGTACACGGAACCCTAACCATCCAAGAATGAGCGAACAATGTCTTGATTGATCCGACTGTAAGCAGCTTTCGGAGAGCGGAGATCGCAGACTACAGAAGGCTGTTCGCACGGAGACGGGCGCGTCAGAGTCTAGCAAAATGACTCGTGGAGGTGGACGCAGGGAGACAACCAGACCTGTCCCTCATTATGTCAGAAATCCGTGAGCAGTATGAGGCTGTGGCCGCCAAGAACGCGAAAGAACTTGAAGCCTGGTTCCAAACAAAGGTAAGACTGGATAATATTTGACAAAGTGACTTCTTACTGCTTATTTAGAGTGTTATATTTTTCACATATATATAGTTCTACATGGCATTGAGGTTCTCCCGTGTCTGTTATAGTCGGAGGAACTGAACAAGGAGGTGGCTGCCAGCACAGAAGTTATCCAAACAACAAGGACAGAAATTACTGAGCTACGTCGATCAATGCAGGGCCTGGAGATCGAGCTACAGTCCCAACTCAGCATGGTAAATGATAATGACC